TGCCCACTTAGCTGACTTGGTGTGGAAGTCTGGGTAGAGTTTGGTATTTTGCCTTGTTGACCTTATTCTGCTTTCATATAAGCTACTTTCTAAAAGGAATGAGAAAAAGAAAAGCAGAAACTTTTAAGCTGCAGTTCAACAAAGCATTTAAGTATTTTTTCTAAATGTATTCTTCTATTAGAATTTGGGTTGTTTATTTTCCTGCTTAAGTCCTATCCTCATTCAGGACTATATACAGCTGAGTTTATCTTTGCTTTATAAGTCAGAAGCACATATAATACTTTGAGATGTTGCTCGTAAGGGAAACACAGATCTAGACAGCTGGATTTTGAACAGGGGGCAGTTAGAAATCTAGACATAAGCATGGGGGCTGGGTGGAGGGTTTGGGAACATCTGTTTCTTACCCCCATGATACACAGGCAGGCCCTCAGGGCATTCATGACCATGGTAGGCAAAACCCCCAATTACTCATGGCCCCAGGTGAATCCTGGGGGCTGCACATGATGGCATGGAGCCCACGCAGCCCTGCCTGCTGGTGCATGCCTTCAAATCAGACCAGGCAGGTTCCATATTACATGTGGGGCCTAGCCATGTGTCCAAGCTTCCACTTCTTGTAAGTTGCCTTTTTGTGTTTTAGCCACTGAAGAGTTATCTGCTAAGCCAAGGTGCTCACATTTGACACATTTACAATTCTTCCTACACATCAGGATGGTTGGTTCCTGCACCCTCAGTAAAGTTTCCTTAAAATACAACCAGGTCTCCTGGACTCCTCTCCCACTCAGACTGGCCTCCCAGGGGATCCTGCCCATCAGTTCCCTGAATGGGTCAAAGTCTGCTTTTCTGAAGTCCAGGGTCTTTACTCTGCTGCCCTTCTTTCTTTCTTTTGTCAAGATCCTGAATTTAATCATCTCATGGTCACTTCTGCCCAAGTTGCCATCAACTTCTACATCCCCAACCAATTCTTCCCTGTTTGTGAGCACAATAGGTCAAGAAGAGCATGGCCCCTAGTTAATCTCTCCAACACTTGCATCAGGAAGTTGTCTCTACCACTCTCCAAAAACTTCCTGGGTTACCTGTGCACTGCTGTATTGCCCTCCCAGCATATGTCAGGGTGACTGAAGTCCCACATGAGAACCAGGGCCTGTGATCTGCTAGTTGTCTGAAGAAAGCCTTTTCTACCTCATCCTCCTGGTCTGGTGGTCTATAGCAGACACCCACAACAATATCATCCTTGTTGCTCTCCCCTTTAACTTTTAGCCAGAGACTGTCAACAGGCCTATTTCCAGTTTTATACAGGAGCTCTGAGCAATCATACAGCTTTTTTACATAAAGCGCAACTCCTGCTCCTCTTCTCCCTTCCCTGTCCTTCCTACACAGTTTATACCCATCCAGTCATGCAAGCTCTCCCACCAGGTCTCTGTTATTCCAATCACATCACAGTTCTGGGACTGTGCAAGGACTTCCAATTCTTCCTGCTTGTTTCCAAGGCTCTGTGCATCCAGATACAGACACCTGAGGTGATTAGCCAATTGCCCTACTTTCTCAAGAGCAATGAGGAGGCCTCCCTGGTTGCCCCCTCCTGCTTGTGCTTCCTTCAGGTCCCATGCTTCCCCACTTACCTCAGGGCCTTGTTCTCCACCCCCCTGAGTACTTAGTTTAAATCACTCCTGGTTAGTTTAGCAAGCCTGTCTGCAAAAATGCTCTTCCCTCTCTTCCTCAGCTGGATCCTGTCACTTCCTAGTAATTCATTACGTCATTAATTATTGCTTCCATTCCTTGACTGTATGATCACACAAGTACCTCCATACTCTCACACTGACACCAACATTTTGGTTCCTGTAAGTATGTGTCAGTAAATTTGGATTAATGATAATGTTTGCAAAAAACAAATGTAGAAGGGCTCTAGGCACTGGTGAAGCAAATGGATGTGGTTGGCAATGCACAAATATTTGATTCAAGTACTCCTCCAGTTCTAGAAATAAATATGCAGTGAGTCCCTTTATTGTCATGGGCTTGCAATCATCCCCCTTTTAACTTCAGAAGATTGACAATTTTTCATTTTGCTGTTGTATTGTGCCCAGCAAAACATATATAAAACTCCTTTCTTTGATTTAATACACCACAAAATGATGCTAAATTACAGAATCAGAGCAATATACTGATATAGTAAAATAGTTTTCTCTGCTGCTACCATGTAAAAAATCTTTCCCATAATGTTTTATTGACACCTAAAGTACAAACCTTGCAGTGAGTAATAGTTTTCTGTGGTAAAATGTTCCTAAATTAAAGGCTTTTTTAACCCTTCTTTGTTACTTTCTTATCCCATAAGAATTTTGGAAGAGAAAAGTATAAGTTGATGGCTGCTTATGAAACTTTTCTTAATAGGGCAGCAGTGGGCAAAATGGTGGCAGGGGCTGGTTTCCATGGAGACCTGCCCCAGCAGCAATGGCAGGGCAGAGAGCTGCTCCAGAGCCCAGCTGGGATCTTGTGGCAGTGACAGAGTGGTCCAGAGCCTGGTCAAAGCTATGATCTGCAGCCTGCATACCCCAGGCAGGGAAGTGCAGGCAGCAGTTTGCGGCTCTGCCCCAGCTCCTTGCAGTAGTGACAGCATGGTCAGGAGTCAGGGAAGAGGTGTGATCCACTGCTTGTACACTCCTGCAAACTGTGGCTCTGCCCTGCCTCTGCACCATGCTGTCACTGCCACAAGATCCCAGCTGGGCTTCGGAGCAGCTCTGTGTTCTGCCACGCACCCTGCCAGCAGAGGCAGTGCTGGGGTGGAGGTTGAGGGAGCTATAGCCACCCCAAAATTCCCCATAACCCCCCATAGCCACCCCCTCACCTCTGCCCACCCTGCACAAGCAACAGCAGCTGAGCCCACCTTGTGCCCACCCACAGCACAGTCCCTCCCTCAGCCTCCCCTCAGTCCCCCCCTCCAGGAAGAGGCTGACGCCACTGCTGCCTGCCAGTGCTGCTGGGGCCAGTCTCCACAGAAATCCTGGCCCCGTGCTATCACAGCGTGGGTGATGCTGGGGTCTCCATGGAAACTGTCCCCAGTTCCGTGGTCAGGGGCTGCTGGGAAACAAAGGGCAGAAGCTCCCCTCCCACTCGCCACCAGATCTGGCCCATGGGCCAGACTTTGCCTGCCCCTGTAATAGAGGGTGAAAGATGGCTTTTACAGACCTTTCCTTATATGCCTTCCTGTACCAAAAACCTTATAAGCCTACATGTGTATAAGGTACAACAAACAACATCCAAATAAATTATGTGCTTAGGCTATACAAGGAAAATGTTGTAACAACATAAATGTGGTTAATATCCTGAGATGCATCATTTGCAATAATGTACTCTACACTAACAGTGGAGTCAGTTTTGTAGCAAAATAATTTTAATTTTATTTAAGCAAAATAAAAGGATTGTATCTGCAAAATTGTTGCCCTGTGGGGTCAGGCCAGCTTTCAGGATCTCAATATAGTGCTGTTAGACAGGAGGGAGTGACACAATTGCACATATACAAACACACAAATCAGTTAGGTATATACATGCACATACTACCAACTCAGGCACATACACATCCAAACTAGTCTAGGCACATGCATACCTATCACGAATTCAAGCACATACACTATACCCCCAAAAGTTAGACAAAAATTAATTGTCCATACCTGCACACTCAGTACACATACACTAATCACTAATTCATATATCATGCACACAATGACATATATATACACACACACACACT